CGTGCGGTGACGCATGAGAAGTTGTTGGATTTGCTCCCACCGGCCAAATTACGGGAGATGCTGAATAAAGATACCAGCAATCGAGATGGCGGTGCCAGCACATCGGAGAGTTCCACTGTTTCTTTGGAGGAAAAGCAGCTGTTGGCAGAGATGGTAAGCCACGTGGTAGAGAAGTTGAAAGTTGAACTTGGGTCTGATCTTACACAGAATATAAAGAAGCGTGATCGGCTTATTAGGAAACTTCGCGACGAAAATGGCGCGCTGCGAAAAGCCATTGTTACGCTGGAGAAGAGGGTTGGAGAGTGCCCGCGTTGCAGACAACGGGCGAGATCAAATTCAATCTCATAACCGCCAATTGTCACTTGTAGGTTTTTCCTTTATTTTCCTTTATTTTTATTTGTTTATTTATTTTTGCGCTTGTGCGGGCTATTTTTTGTTTGTGCTTGTTTTCATGCGTCATAAATTATATATGTATGTATATTTCTGTGCATACATGTGTTTGTATGCGTATATGTGAAAATATGTGTGCTTGATAAATATATAAATATATAGATGCGGGTGGTGGTGATCCGCGGAGGGCAAATGGCTGCATTAGTCTGTTATGAATCCTCCTTAATTTTTTTTTTTTTTGGCGTGGCTCGTCTTGACAATAATCCAGCGTTGGTGGGCAGGACGGTTGGATTACAGGCACTCTGCGGGACGGTGGAAAAAAAGGGAAATGAGACGAATGCCGGCTGGGAAGCATGACGATTGTATGAGGTGGCTCTTTGAATAGGACGCATTTATGGTGGGCGCAGGGCGATCTGTTTTTGTGTGTATATGTGATGTCATCTGTTTTCTTTCTTTAAACCACGATCCGTTTTTTTTTTTTGTTTTTTTATTGCACCGCATGCTTCTCCGTATCATATGAATCAAACAACCACCGGGGTAACATGGATTGAAAGAGACGAGAAGGGAAAGGGGGATATATATATATATATTATATGATAGGATGTGTGTGTATTATATATATTATAACATACACACATAACGTTGGTTTTTGGAATGGAAGAGTGATACGCAGTGCTGGGGAATGTGTGTTTTATTATTATTATTAGTGATTTATATCTCATTGTGAGGGATATGTGCAGTGGAATTGTGTAGTTTCTGACGTGTGTGTGTGTTGTGCAGCGGCGCATTGGTGAGCCTCTTCTTTTTTTTTTTTTTTTTTTTTTTTGTGTGTGTGTTTGATTCATTTTGCCAACATAAAAACACATATTTCTTTCTTTTTGAATTGCCCATTATTACTATTTATTTATAAATTATTATTATTTTTTTTTGCGTTAGACAGCCGTTGCTGTTTTTCCTCGTTATTGAGGGGTCGTGTGTGAGTGGAGGGTGGAGGCGATATTCGGTCGTTTTGTGTTTTTCTTTTTATTGACACGTGAGAGACGTGTTGGCTTTTGACAGCTGTTTTTTATTATTTCTTTTACTCTCTCTCTCTCTCCCTCTATGCGTGTGTGTGTGTGTGTTGGTTCACAGTGTGTGTGTGTGTGAATGAGGGGAGAAGGTGTTGAGAGGGATGAGTGGCTGGTGGGCCTGCAGCTCTTCATGGATGTGCGGCTTCGAACCGTGCCGTTTCACGTGGCGTCTCGTAATCGTCCCGGCGTGTCTGTCCCCCTGCCGATTCCCAACACGCAGTACATCATGGATGGAATCATGTGGAGCGTGCGTGATTACATTGCGTGGGCTCCCAATGCCTGGCTGACGATTCAAAATCATCTACAGAGCTGCTCGCAGCGCTACACCCAGCTGGCTGAACGGCTGTCAGAGTCTCATGCACACAATAATTTCCAGGACGGTGCGGAGGTGGAGCGTGAGCGTCTCTACTCCAGCCACGCGTACGTGCAGGACCTTTACGTTGCCTTCTGTGCCGTTGATGCCTTTTTACGCCATGTTGCAGAGGCGTCGCAATCGACTGCACGAGAGGCGGCCGAAAAAGAGCTGCCGCGTCTTGTAGCGGACCACATGCCCATCTGGCAGCTGGCACGCAGTCAATATATGCACGATGCTGTGGAGGACTACCGGCTACTGTTTTTGGACGTGCTGCGATCGTGGACGGTCACGAAACTTCTGCGCCCCGACACGCATCGTCGAATAGAAGAGTACGTGCGGTATAAGCTAAAAACACTGCGGGACAACTCCACGACTCATGAGGGCGACCAGAACGTTGGCCGCCGTTCGTCGGAGGCAATTAGCGCCGGGTTGCGTGTGCTGCTTGCTGGCGCGGGGCCGTCGCAGTCGTCGACCTCATCCCTGTCCTCCTCGTCCCCGTCGGCACCCGCAACAATTGACGTTGTGCGCAGGAATATGAGAGAATTTGTTGTTGCCATTTTTCCTTCGCATCGTTCCGATTCTGGGAGGAAGCGCTGCGCCCACTGCGGCGCCATATTCAGGACTCTCGCTGCAAAGATTGCGCATTACCGCTACCACTTCTACAACCGCAGTTACTTGACAGGGGAGAAAATTGTTCGTCTGCCATACCCCACACTTGAGGACTACATCTCTCACGAGGTGACGTCCCGAGTCACGGGGGACTTTGTACGCGTCACGGAGAATCTTTTGGACGTCCTACGCGTGCCGGAAAAACGAACCGTGCACGTGCGGAAGGAGAAGCAGGAAAAAAAGCCCTCGTGAGGGAAAAAGACGTTTTTTTCTTTTTGTGTGTTTCCGCACGTCCCACTTTCCCCATCTGCGCACGTCTGTGTGTATATCGGAGGCAGCCTCGTTCACCGCTAAAAAACAAAAACAAAAAACAAATGAAAAAGAGGATGCCGACACCTACTTTTGTTTGTTCTTTGATTCTTTGCGGTGTACTCACCTGGTGCATGTTTCTGGACGTGGGGATATGTCCGATTATGAGCATACAACCTGCTATTCCACTCTCTTACGTTTGATCTCTTTCTAATTTTATTTTTGAACTCTTACTTTTGCATGCATGTTGAGAGTGTTCGGCGTGCAGCCAACCGTACATGTGAGCGATGCGGCGAACCCTCGTTGCGAATCGCGGAGCACTCAGTCTGCTCGGCTTGGATGAACGATTGCACTACACGGAGGAGGAGGTGAAGGCGGCGTATCGTCGACAAGTCAAACGGTTTCACCCAGATGCAGGCGGCAGTGCGGAGCGTTTTCGAGAGCTCCACGATGCGTATGTTTTTCTCCTCGGGGATCGCAAGGCAACAGACACTCCGGCAGAGTCATGTGACAGCAGTTCTTTCTACAATAACGCCCATTCTCGGTGGTCTGCGGGTCGGTATGAAGGAGCCGGGTGCGGTGCGGCATTTGCACGTGATGCCTCCAGCGGTTATGCCCGCAGTGATTATGAGTATGACTTGGGCGTTGAGTGGGACGGTGAGAGGAGGTACGCAAACCGATCTACCCGTGATTTCTACCGTCCGTACACATCGAACCCGTTTGCTCATGGATTCACCGATGAAGAGGTGCTGGAGGCGGAGCGACTGAATCGGCTGCGTGTCTTGTGGGCAGTGCTGAAACACGGACTTATTTTTGGTGGCTTGGTGTACCTTCTTTTCGTGTGCTGGCGGGACAACCGCATTCAACGCGCCATTGAGGCCCGCAACAACGGCTACGTGGACGCGTCTTACTGGGAGAAGTTGAAGGAGGACCAACAACGTGGCTTGACTCCGACGCCGCGCCGGCACTGGGCGGATGTACAGAATGAAGAGTTCATGCAGGCGTGGAATAAACGCCTTGAGGAGCAGCGGCGGCGGGGATCCCCGTGTGGGGGCGGGGGTGGCTACGCATTCCGTCCGGTGGCGGTGACGTTTCAAGGGCGCCCGTTCACACCGACGGGTGTTCGAGGCGCCCGCAGCGGGGTTCCGAAGAACACGGCGACTTATGAGGGCGATGAGCATTGCGAGCTGGACGACGCGGAGGGTGACTGAATTTGCTCCGCATGAAACAACTTTGGGAAGGTTCTCTGCATGTTTGTGTGTTTTTGTGTGTGGGGGGGAGAGAGACAGAGGAAAGGAGAGGAATGCCGCCCCAAAATAGAAGTGCAATTAAAAAACCAAAAAACAATTGCATCGGTTTTTTTTTTTGCTGCCATGAAGTGTGGGGGGATGCCTTTGAAAATATATCTTTTTCTTTTGGTATGCTCTTGGCTGCCACGAGTTTTTTTTTTTTACTGTATTTTGCCTTTTTTTACGTGCACACATTTTCTTCTTTTTCCTTTTCTTTCCTTTATTGTATTTGTATGTGTGTGGCGGCATTCTTTCTTCCTTTTTTATCCTGCGCTCGAGAAGGTAAGGACCAACACCACGTGTAGTAATAATACTCCAGCGCAAGAAAGTGACATTTCCGCCCAAATCAAATTTATCCACGTATCCGCAAGCGGTGTTATAGCAAACGTTGCGGGGGATATGAGTAAAAAGGTGGGGGCGCAGATTAAACGATTCCTTCAAGAGAATGCCACAATTCCCGAGAACAAGACCAGCGAGGAGAAGTGGTCATCAAGCGATGGTGGAAATGTGTTAAGTTGGCTGGCGCAGCGAAATCCCCAGCAGCCGTCACGAGGGGCGATTGACTATCTCAGCAAGGCGCGCCAGCCAGAAAAGCCACAGGCCGGGGCACAGTCTTCTCTGCCAAAGCCACGCTCACAGCAACAACGGGAGCAACAGCAGCCACAGGCGCATGAGCAGCTCTCCACGGGGTCTGCTGAGGAGCCGGCGCATACGCTTTCGGAAAAATTGCTGGGGGCACAAGTCGTCCAGCAGGTGAAAGTGGGCGACAGAGTCATCGTTTCCGGCGGTACTTTTCCCATGGAGGGTCTGCACGAACAGCAGCAGAAGCGGCAGCAGCAACAACAACAACAATCGACGACGGCCGCAAAGACTTACCGGGGGCGCGGTTATCGCGAGTCAAAGGAGGAGCGACTCAAGCGGCGCTTTGAAAAGATGGCAAAAGAGGCACAGAAGCGGCATGAAGAGGCCCTTCGCACAGATCCCGAATACAAGAAAAATTATCAAACGTTTCAAGAGCTCCAGGCGGCGCAGCAAGAAGCGCAGGCGGGTTTTCTCGAGCGATATGCCCGTCAGGAGCATTTGAACCTCAACGGTACGGTCAGTGAGCGTATTGACATTGCTGTTATTCTGGACCTTATTGAGCAACACGATGTCATTTTTATTTGCACGGATACGGGAAGTGGTAAAAGCACATTGGTTCCCAAAGCGCTGTTGGAGCTATCACAAAATACACGTGTTGTTAGCACGCAGCCCCGCCGCACGGCGACCATCTCCATTGCGTCGAGAGTAGCCACCATCCGACGCGAAAACGTTGGTGAGGATGTCGGATATTGGATCCGTGGGGAAAAGAGAGGCGACGATCAGACACGGCTGTGGTACATGACTAGCTACACGCTACTTTTGCATTTGCTTAATAACCCGCTGAACCCTCCATTTACGCACATTGTTCTCGATGAGTTTCACGAGCGGCAGCCGGATATTGAGGTGACTGTGGCGTTGCTGCGTCTTTGCCTCTTGAAGAGAACGGCAAACTTTAAGCTTATTCTTATGAGTGCCACGCTTAACACCGCCGATTGGGAGGAGTATTTCACCGGGCTGAAGGTGGCAACGTACAAACAAAGCGAACCAGAGCATCCAATTCACGATTATTTTATGGAGGATGTCTGCGCACTGATTGGAACGGGATATGATGAACCACTGAATTTTTTGGATCGCAGCGTTGACTTTTCACTGCTGGAGAAGCATATGGCCATTGCACAAACCCTTGTCGCGTACCTTAATGCCTATGCGGACCCGCAACACGCCATATTGGTGTTCTTGCCGGGTCGTGCGCAGGTGGAGCAGTTCCAATTGTGGCTTGAGACAAATATGCCGAGACCTGTTGACATTGTGCCATGGCACAGTTCCGTTGACCTTTCTGTCATTGAAGATGCCATCGGCCGTCGTTTGCCGTACAGCCAGAAGATTTATCTGGCGACAGATATTGCGGAAGTTTCCATCACTTTACCGGATGTTGTGTTTGTGATTGATTTGGTGTTGGTGAAGCGCCCCAAGATTAACAAGGACGACCCAGCCACCGTGTTGCACCCCCCACTGATGATGCAGTGGATTTCAAAGGGAAGTGTGGCACAAAGGCGTGGTCGCATTGGCCGTGTACAACAAGGCTTTTACTTTTGTCTGCTTCCATCCTCTATTGTTGCGTCTCTCCCCGATCATGCAAATCCACCCATTGAAAACTCCCGCGTGGACGAGCTCTCTCTGCATTGCCTACAGCTTGTTTGCAATCCCGTGGCGATCTTCAGTATCTGTCACGGTCAGCCGCTTGTGGAGACCATCACCGTCTCTATGGATACACTATCGCATTTG